TCTGGTTAGCAGTCACATGCCTTAGACAAAATGCCACCAGACTGGCCTTTGGGGCTAGATGAAGGCCTCTTAACCTTGGGCTTCTGCTCTGCCTCTTGTTCAAGGCCCACTGGAGCTAGAGATGTCTCCTAACTCAGGCAGCTGCTGGCTGCCGAGGCTGGTGAACCCAAGGTCGTCATGTAAAATGGCACAATCCCAAGATCAGTAAGCAACACAGCAGGCCACTGGTTCAAGTCCGGGAACTGGAGATGAAGACTCGGCCAAATGCAGGAACCATAATGTGCCAAAAAGCTAGAGACATTCCTTAAAGCTTCTCCATATGTACTGGAAGCAGGTCACACCCTGAAGGCAACTAATAGCTGCTCACAGCAGATTCCACCGTGGAGGTGATTAAAATTTCATTATGGGGAATAACCACATCCAGCTGCCAAACCACTCAAAACCATTGGCACTGCCAAATTGACATACAACCTTAACTACCACACAAGCTTTTAAGACTCCAGTTGCTACTCGCTAAAGTAGGATGTAGAACATTGTGAATATGTTATACCAGTTGATTTAGATGTCCCTTGACACTGTGGTCCTCCGTCCTCAATCCCGGTAGCTCAGTCCCTCAGGGTCTTTGGTTGTGGCTGAGAAGTTTTTGTAACTTTGTTACCTATATCCACTACTATATATGTGTGTCTATTTGCAACACATACAAATATGTATGTAGAAATATTCTCTACCAAATGTGTATATGCTTATGGTGTACTCCCATATAACAGCCCTCGCCTGTTCAGCTTATGTCTCTACCTGTGTATCCACTCATAAGTTACTGTTTTGTTATTACTGGTATCACATGATTGTGTCTATAATATTGTGGCCTTTTACTCTTGATTACTTCCCAGTGTCTTCATTTGTGCTGACCTCCACTTTATTATATTTTGCTATCCCTTCAGCCAAGTTAATACATGTCTACTATCTAGTTATTTTCGCTCCCATGCCTGGTAACCATCAAAGAATGTTTCTGTATGTAAACCTTGTCTTGACTTTTTATAATATTGTTCTCATATGATATTTATTCTTTTGTGATTGACTTTTTTAACTCAGTAGGATGACCTCCGGGAGCTCTGGTAGCATAGTGGCTAAGACACTTGCCTGCTAACCAGACGGCTGGCGGTTCAAACCCACCAGCCACTCCTCGGAAGGAAGGTTGGGCAATCCTACTTCCGTAGTGATACTGCCTTGGAAACCCAAGGAGGGGTTGCTAGGAGTCGGGTTTGACTCGACGCACATAACAACAACAAGGATGACCTCCATGTTCATCCATGTTATGAGGTGTTTCACAGATTTTGTTGTTGTTGTTAAGTGCCGTCGAGTCGTTTCCGACTCATAGCGACCCCACGCACAGCAGAACGAAACACTGCCCAATCCCGCACCAGCCCCACAATTCCTGCTATACTTGAGCCCATCATCGCAGCCACCGTGTCAATCCATCTCGTTGAAGGCCTCCCCCTCTTTCGTCAACCCTCCACCCTACCAAGCATGACATCCTTCTCCAGGGAATGATCCCTTCTTACAACATGACCAAAATAGGTGAGACGAAGTCTGGCCATTCTTGCTTCCAAGGAGCATTCTGACTGCACTTCCTCCAGGACAGATCTGTTAGTTCTTTTAGCAGTCCGTGGTACTTTCAGCATTCTCCGCCAGCACCACAACTCAAAAGCATCAACTCTTCTTCGGTCTTCCTTATTCATTGTCCAGCTCTCACATGCATATGAGGCGATTGGAAAGTCCATCAGGTGTGTCAGGCACACCTTAGTCCTCAAGGAGATATCCTTGCTCCTCAGCACTTGATACAGTTCCTTCGCAGTTGACTTTCCCAGTGCGACACGTCATCTAATGTCCTGACTGCTGCTTCTGTTGGCATCGATTGTAGAACCAAGCAACGTGAATTCTTTGACAACCTCAATCTTCTCTCCATTTATTGTGATGCTGCTCATTGGTCCAGTTGTGAGGATTTTTGTTTTCTTTATATTGAGACGTAATCCATACTGCAGACTGTATTCTTCAACCTTCATCAGTAGGTACCTTAAGTCATCCTCACTTTCAGCAAGCAAAGGTGTATCGTCTGCATATCTCAGGTTGTTAATGATTCTTCCTCCAATCCTGATACCACGTTTTTCTTCATATAGTCCAGCTTCTCAGATTATTTGCTCAGCATATAGATTGAATAAGTGTGGAGAAAGGATACAACCCTGACGCACTCCCTTCTTGATTTTAAACCATGTATTGTCCCCTTGTTCTGTTCGAACGACAGCCTCCTGGTCAAGGTACAGATTCCTCATGAGTACAATCAAGTGCTCGGGAATTCCCATTTTTCTCAATGATATCCATAATTTGTCATGATCCACACAATCAAATGCCTTTGCATAGTCAATAAAACACAAGTAAACATCTTTCTGGTATTCTTTGCCTTGAGCCAAGATCCATCTGACAACAGCTATGATATCCCTTGTTCCACATCCTCTTCTGAATCCGGCTTGAACCTCTGGAAGTTCTCTGTCAATATACTGCTGCAAACCTTTCTGAATTATCTTCAGTAAGATCTTACTTGCGTGCGATATTAATGATATTGTTCTATAATTTCCACATTCTGTGGGATCACCTTTCTTTGGAATGGGCACAAATATGGATCTCTTCCAGTCAGTTGGCCAGGTAGCTGTCTTCCAAATCTCTTGGCATAACTGAGTGAGTGCCTCCAATGGGGCATCTGTTTGTTGAAATATCTCAATTGGTATGCCATCAATTCCCAGAGCTTTGTTCTTTGCCAGTTCTTTCATTGCAGCTTTGACTTCTTCCTTCATTACCATTGGTTCTAGATCATATTTCATAGATTTATCATTCTTTAATGTTGTATAGTATTCCATTGTATGCATGTACCATAGTTTGTTTAACCATCTGTTTTCCATCTTTTTGCTGTTGTGAATAATGCTGGGATGAACATTGCTGTGCATATATCTATTCATGTCATAGCTCTTATTTCTGCAGGATACATATCTAGTAGTGGGACTGCTGGATCATGTGATATCTCTATTTCTAACTTTTTAAGGAAGTGCCATTCCATTTTTTAGAGTGGTTGTACCATTTTCTGGTAGGTTTTTTCCAGTGTTAGAAATTAATTCAATTCTTACTCATATTTTGTCTCAGCCTGTGTTGTTACCAAAAAAAAATGAAAAAAGAAAAGGCCTTCTCTGTTCCCTGAGAGTCTGCAACCCTTTTTAAAAAGTACCCCGTGTGCTCTTCCTAACGATGGCTCTGAAGGCCAAAGTAAAATTCCTCCCTGGCTCACCCTAAAGTCCACGATAAAACCTGCACTCTTACTAGCCTCGTTGACTATAGTCCTTTTGGTTTCCCCTCTTCCTTTAACTGACATTCTTGCCTCAGAGAATTTCTCTGTTACTTAGCATGGCATTTCTATTCATGTGACAAAGGATTTCCATATAATCTTTTCTCTGCCTGCAGTGTTCTCCTCTCAACACACTTTTCCAGTGTGGCAAAGTTTTCTTTAAGAATATATTCTCAATGAAGCCTTTCCTGATTGCCTCACATGTCATTCAACCACTGGACTTTGAGTCTGTTATATACAGTAATTGTTTGTGTCCCTCCTGACTGTGAGCTTCTCAAGGACTAGGAGTGTATCATGCAATTTATTTTATTTCTTTAATCCCAGTACAGTGCTTAGTATAAGTGGGCACTTAGTAAATGATGGACTAATGAATAGATGTTTGGTCTTTTGGACAGGTGGATGGTTGGATGGACTAATCAACGGATAGATAGATGGATACAACTTAGCCAATGGCTTGAAGCACCTTGTGAACAAGCATTTGGCTAGTTGGTACTATGCTGACAAAAGGAATTGGCACTTGATCTTTCATGATTTCTAGGTAGAGTAACCTTTTAATTTAGCATTCAGACTAGAACAATTTTGAGAGTGTAGGGTTTGGAAGGGGTTTGCTGTGAACAATTACACCAGGAGTACAGGCATAAACCAGGGTTCTCTCAGACTGAAACAAATGGTCACTCTATTAGGTTATCAAGAAAATGTCAACAATCTAACCAGTAGGACAGGTTTACCTAGGTGAGAAAGCACCTGTGTAAGTTGTTTTCCTGGCAGCACTTCCTGTTGCATGTGACTCCAAAGCAGTTGGTGCCTCTGTTTTTACAGTTTATGTGTCACAGTTCTCAAGGTGCATAACCAAACCTATCAGTGCCAACTTTCATTTGTGTTAGTAACGTGCAGCTTCATCATGGAAACACTTTGTAGACAGTTGCCTCAGAATTAAAATAACATTGCTGAGGAAAGCTGCTTAGTGTCTCTTCTAAAGCCTAACCTACCTTCCAGCGTTATCTTTCACTTTACAGTAACTTTAGTGCTTGCGCCTCATATATGCTACATACATAGTTACTGGATCTCCCCCTGTCAAATGAGAGAGCTTTGTGTTTCCTGCCTCCAAGCTGCTCTTCTACTCTAGGCTCCTCCTCCGAGTCTCTCTAAGTCTCCTCTTCTTTTTTAGGTGCACTCTTCTTAGGTTAGCCTGGCCCACAGCAAGCTTTTTCAGCTCTTGTCATTTTTGTCTGTACTCACCTTTTTTGGCAATTATAATGCACTACCTTGTGACATTTCTTTGTGTTGTCTAATTTAACTTATTTTCTCAGTGATGCAGGCATCCAGGAAGAAGGTAAATACATGATCTACACTTTTGATCTTTGGTTTAGACGTACAGAAAGAGATCATCTTTTTAAAATAGGCTGTTTAAAATCTATTTTATATTGTGCTTTCTCTCTGGTGACGTTCAGTGAACTGATTCTGAAATGAATAGTGCATCAGGCTATAGGACTGTGTACAGGTACATGATCTGAGACTTGTCTGTCCAAAAGGAGACCCTTAGTGTACTTTAAACCAAATAAAGAGATAGAGCCCTAAGCAGAAAATTTGTACATGCTGAGTCTGTGCCTTAGGCCTTTCCCGCCTTTGTTTTGTAGACTTTAACGCCAAGAGGAAAAAGAAAGTGGCAGAGATATACCAGGCTCTGAACAGCGACCCCACTGATGTGGCTGCCCTTAGACGCATGGCTATCAGCGAAGGAGGGCTCCTGACAGATGAGATCCGTCGAAAAGTGTGGCCCAAGCTCCTCAACATCAACACCAATGACCCACCTCCTCTATCAGGTAGCAAGGAGCACTGTGAGCTTGTGGGAGCTTGTCTAGGGGCAGGAAGAAAAGCATTCCAGGACCTTTGATTTTAATGCACATTTCAAACTATGAGTACATGAGTAAACTAAAGCATTTTAGGATGTGCTGGGGCCCACTCTGAAAATAAGGCTAAACTGATAAGTTTTATTCAAAAATGGAATGGACTTTTATCAGGGATTAAAGTATTGGCTAGGTAAGGGAATTTATTAAAAATACCTATTTTGGTCTAGATTCACTTGATTGGGGGTGGGTTGTAGGAATTTATGTTTTAACAAGTACTCAAGCTGATTCTGGAGCAGTGGACTCCATTTTGAGAAACAGTGGGCTTGTGGAAGAAAGAATACCACTAAAGCTCTTTAAGAAAAAAAAAAAAAACCTTTTTATTGGGTTATGCGGAGATCCTTTTCAATTCTAGGTTCCTATAATTCTGTGAAAAGCTTAATTTTCAAGGCCCATGTAGTAAAAGAAGTCCCTTGGAATATAGTGCAAAATACAGAAGAAGTCCTGCAAAACAATGAATCTGGCTATGTTGCTTGTTCATTCAGCAGATGTTTATTGCATTCCTGCTATGTATGGCAAAATGCCAGGTACTGGAGATTCTTTAATTCATTTGCAAAATATTAGTTGGCTTCTGTTGTGTGCCAGGTCCTGGAGATGATTAAAACGGGGCCTCTGTCACTAGAAGGTTCATGGTGTCATGATGCAGCTGAGTAGGTGTTAAGTTGCCACTTGTTGTTATCTTGGGAACTGGCTGCCTCAGAGCAGTCAGCTTTTAGTTGGTAGGAAAAGGCATTGCCGTAGTCACATTCCAAAGCCTAAGATGATGCTCTTCTGTCAAATTCTAAATTTGTCATGTCTTTTTATAAGATTAAATCTGTGTAGGGAAGTATTCTCTGGTAGCTTGTAATTTGGGTTGTGAGAGAAAAATACATTCTTGGCTATGTAACGGCTAGAGATTACCTCCTTACTTTCCCACTGTACTTTTGACACTTGGGTTTATAAACCCAGAATGAATTCTGTCTCCTATTTGCCATGTCTTAGTTTTAGAATTTTAGGGTCAAGAGAGAGAAAAGATTAGGTTTTTTCTGTGAGTTTATCTTGTTACTTCTTTCTGAACTGCTCAGTGCGCCCTAGACTCTACAGACGTTACAGTTTTCTCAGTGATCTGTGGTTCCCACATCCATGATCTTATTTGATCCTTACAATAATGTGAGAGGTACATACAGAAGGGAATATCCCCATTCTACAGATAAAGACATTGAAATTCAGTTCTCCAGTGTTACACAGCGGCAGCCTGTACTGGGCGCTCGTCCCCATGACTTCTGCTCTGCTGCTCTTTCCACCTCATTATATTCCCTCCTAGACAGTCTGTGTTCTGTCTTCTTACAGTCATCATGACTTGCATGAAACAGCATACACCATGTCCTACTTCAGAAAAAAACTGAAGAATGCCCTCCAGCCTGTGATGTTATTCCAGAATACTTTGCTTATGATCAAACTTCCCAGACATTCCTATAGTAACAAATTCCTTTTCCTCTAATAGGGAAGAACCTACGGCAGATGAGCAAGGATTACCAACAAGTGCTGTTGGACGTCAGGCGATCTTTACGACGATTCCCTCCTGGTGAGAAGCTCTCCAGTCTTGCCACATTCCAGATGGAGGTTTCTGTGTCTCTCTTGTTCTTGCTTTTTTGTGTTGGTTCTTAACAACCCTAAGGAATTTCCAGTGTGACCTAACATACAGAACCCTGCCTCCTTGGGTCTTTGAGAACTCTTAATCTACTGAGTCATTCTTTGGTTGACTCAGTAACTTTCAGACCTTCGCTGTAAAAGCTGAGTCAAAAATAGTTTCTTTTGGCCTGAGGGAGAATAAGGGAAGAGTGATACTGGTTTTTTTTTCTTCAGAATCACAGAAGGGACTTTGTGAGGATTGCAAAGGTCATTTAGTCTGACTTTAAAGAATACTCTGACTTTAAAAGAATAGTTTAGAACTGGGCACTAGCAAGAACTATTAATGTCTTCAATTGATTAGATTTATAAAATAGAGATGTCTTTCATATACATATATGGGGCCCTTGAACTTGAAGGGAAGCTAGTCCTTACATGTTTATAGTCTGTAATTAAAATTACCTCTCCATTTTCAGAAAGAAGAATGACCATTGTCTCTCTTTTCCCAGTGAAGGAAACTGGGAAGCAAGCCTCATATTAATGACCTATTTCTCTTCCTCTGGTAACTCCACCTTTAGGACAGTGAAGAGAAGAGAATTGCTAACGGGAACAAGAGCTTCTAAACTCATTGCTTCACTCTTCTGAAACCGTGCTGTGGCTCAGGTTTCATCTATCAAAGGGCCTTCTTTCCTGCCTGTACTTTTGCTCCCTAGAGATGCTCATGTGATGCCCATGTAGCCAGTAGCTTGCCAGGTTGGTTTTCATAAAAGCATATGCCTGTGGTCCAGTCCCCTTTTTCTGTCCTCCTGGATTTGGATGAGACCACACAGGACGGATGCCCTCCATTTTCTTTATATGTAAGCTATATTCCCTCTGAAACCTTTATTCCTCTGATTTATGTAATGGGATCCCTGGGTGGTACAAATGCGTTCAGCTGCTGACCGAACAGTCGGAGGTTGAAGTCCACCCAGAGATATCTCAGAAGAAAGATCTGGCAATATGCTCCCAAAAAATCAGCTGTTGAAAATCCTTTGGAGCACTGTTCACCTTTGATACACGTGGTAGCGTCACCATGAGTCAAGAGTCAGCTCAGTGACCACTTTTTTTTTTTT